ACCCCCATCTAAGTTGTGGGACACTTCCCTAAGACATTCAGACTTTGTGGCATGGTGTGCTGAAAGCAATTCGTAACATTTGTTTACCCTTTCATTTCATCAAAACCTAGGTTATTCAAGAAGTAAGAAGTTTGGACTTTGGGAAGGGCCATAACCATGAAATAAAATGTATCAAGAAAGATAACCTATGACTTTGTGCTTTGCAGTTTCATTCTGTGTTAAAATTGCCTCTTCGTTATTTTTGATGTTACATTATCTTGTTTTTTAAACAGTGATTAATTATTTTACAGTCACAGTTGCAGATGGATTGAAGGATAGAGTTCGTTTAAATGAATTTGAAACTTTCTCTGCTCTCAGAACTCTCTGTTAACTCAGTCGATAGATCTGCCATGCTGGACTACAGATCGCGTGGCTCTGGTTCAAATCCCCAATGGGGTACTCTTCAACTTGGGTTATTTTGGGGCGTTTTAAAGGCTTTCCACCCTTTTGCCTTAATCCTGTCGCAGATGGATGTGAAATAGGGAGGTCCTGCCTCTTAACCCTAAGCGTACGCCCTGGGGTCATTTTGTACCCCCGGGGTTGTATTCTTCACATTTTAGAATACTTCTAGAGCAAAGATCTCTTTGAAACTTTTAGTATTTCTCAAAAAATCATTTTGACAGGCTGCTATGCAAAGCGTACAGATTGGATTAATGAGTAAACTCCCTCTTTGGAAAGTGGTGGCACAGAGTTCCCCACGTCGTATGGATACGATAGTAAAACACGACGTAATGATAGGGTTAAATAACCTTACAGTGTTCAAATGGGTGTTAAATGTATACAACTTGAACTCTCTCTCTGCTCTCTCTCAAATCAACTTTTGTTACGTTACATTTTCTGGCCTCTGTTACCTTAGGCTGTGGAGAGAAGAAGCAAACGTCTTTGTTTTGTTTACTGTATCACTTGTTGCATGTGGGTGGCTGGCAGGTGCTCTGGTGTGGTTTGCTTCTTCTTTCCTATCAAACGTCTATGGTCCTGATCTCTCTTCCTTTTTTTGTGTTTGTTACTCTCTTGTAACACCTCTAATCTTTCAGCACTTATATGACCTTATTGTGTTGCAAGTGCCGTAAAAGTTTGACTAAAACTAAAGAAAACTTTGTGTTCACAGGTGAACGTGAGCATCCAGGACGTAAACGACAACGCCCCGAGCTTCCCCCCGACAGCCATGTTGGAGCTGGAAGTCCGTGAGGACGAAGCACCGGGGACACCGCTCTACGTGGCCCGCGCCCGCGACCTTGACACTCAGAACAACGGTGTGATCGTCTACCAGCTGCAGAAGGTGCCGGGGAATCTCTTCTCCATCAACGACCAGACGGGAGAAATCACACTGATGGACGCCCTGGATTACGAGAAACACAAAGAGTACCAGGTCCTGGTCATGGCGAAGGACATGGGATCACCGTCCTTGAACTCCAGCATGAACCTGACGGTCAAGGTGAAGGACATCAACGACAATGACCCCGTGTTCGACAAGGCGGTCTACGACTTCCACGTCGCGGAGAACGTTGAGATCGGTCACGTTGTGGATCAGGTTCTGGCCACGGACGACGACTCGGATCACAACGGGCGGATTTCTTACTCCTTCGTGGACGATAGACACGCGTCCACTTTCGGCATCTCGCTGGTGGAGGGAAAAATCTGGACACGAGATCTGCTGGATCGGGAGATTCACGATCGTTTTGAGATGATCGTTCAAGCTGTTGATCACGGCAGCCCTCAGCGGTCAGCGACAGTCCTTGTCAGGATCATCGTCACTGACATCAACGACAACGCTCCGGAGTTTAGCCGTGAGGAGTACCGCTTTTCCATCGAGGAAAATCTCCCGGCAAATAGTTTGGTGGGAAAGGTGGTGGCGGTGGATCGAGACAGCGGAAACAACAGCCGCCTCGAGTACTTCTTCTCCGGCCCGCAGACCAACTTCACCATCAACCCTCAGAACGGAGAGATCCGAACCCGGATCCCCTTGGACAGAGAGCTGGTTGCGAGCCACGTTCTGACTGTCTACGTGTCCGACAGCGCCACCGAGCCCAAAACCGCGAAGGCCAAAGTGAAGGTCAGTGTTGTGGACGACAACGACAACCAGCCTGTGTTCCAGAGGCAGGGCCCGTTCAGCGAGAGCGTGTCGGAGAACCGGCCCAAGGGCACGGAGGTCACCACTCTGGTAGCTTTGGACTACGACCAGGGAGATAACGGACTGGTCACTTACTTCTTTGACACTGGTAAACTGTCTTCTGCATGTCTTAGCTCTATTACCTTATCATGGGGGATGAGGTGATGAACTGGTTTGACACAGGTAAACTGTCGGCACGCCTTCAGTTCCTCAGTTCTCAGCTTAATCAAGCCATTTGGTTTTGGGTGGGGGATGGGGAAGTGGGGGAGAGGAGGAGGGAGGGAGGGAGGATGGGTGGAAGGGAGGGGGAGGGATCACAGATAGCACACTAAAGACTAGGGACAATGTAATAGAAATCTATTGTAAGCCACGTTTTACAGTGTATATATTTATGTATTATATTTATATGTACAATATATATTTATGTATTACACTTTATCTATAACTTGTTCCCCCAGACTGGAGCGAGCCGGAAGCCCTGGAGAACTTCGCCATCCACCCACGGTCTGGCAAGGTCACCACGAAGGAAGTCTTGGACTACGAGGTGCGCAGTACGTACCAGCTGAGAGTGGTGGCACAGGACGGGGGTTCGGAACCTCGGCAAGCCGCACAGCTGTTGACCATCTCTGTGCTGGACGCCAACGACCAAGCCCCACTCTTCCACGCCCGCAACGTCGACTTCGACTGTGTGGAGAACGTGAGCGTGGGCACGGTGGTGGGCCGCGTGGAGGCCACAGACCGCGACTCTGGCAACAACGGGAAGGTCAGCTATTACCTGGTGGGTGGCAACGTGTTCAGCTCGTTCTCCGTCAACCGCAGTTCGGGCGTGATCCAGACGGTGCGGGAGATCGACTACGAGGAATCCTCCAGCCACACGCTCAGCATCCAGGCGTACGACAACAGCGCCGCGCTCCCTCGCAGCAGTAACATCACCGTCACCATCAACGTGAGTGATGCGCCTCTTTTCTTCTCTTCTCCTTCTGTCAGTTCTCCTTCTGTCTTCTCTCCTCCTTCTGTCTTCTCTCTTCCTTTTGTCTTCTATCCTCCTTCTGTCTTCTCTCCTCCTTCTGTCTTCTCTCCTCCTTTTGTCTTCTCTTCTCCTTCTGTCTTCTCTCCTCCTTCTGTCTCTTCCTATTGTCTTCTCTCTCCTCCTTCTGTCTCTTCCTATTGTCTTCTCTCTCCTCCTTCTGTCTGTTCCTATTGTCTTCTCTCTCTTCCTTCTGTCTCTTCCTATTGTCTTCTCTCTCCTCCTTCTGTCTGTTCCTATTGTCTTCTCTCTCCTCCTTCTGTCTGTTCCTATTGTTTTCTCTCTCCTCCTTCTGTCTCTTCCTATTGTCTTCTCTCTCCTCCTTCTGTCTCTTCCTATTGTCTTCTCTCTCCTCCTGCAGCCTCCACATGTCTGTCTCCATCAACCTGAGTTGTTCCCTTATGTTCTCTTCTCCTTCTCCCCAATAGGGAGAGTAATAATGATAATAATAATAATGATAATAATAATAATGATAATAATAATAATGATAATAACAATTATGATACTAATATTATTATTAATAATAATAATAACAATAATAATCACAGTAATAAAATTAATATTAATAATAATAATAATAATAATAATAATAATAATTGTAATAATAATGATGATAATAATGACATAAATGAGAAGAAGAAGAAGAAGAAGAAGGAGGAGGAGGAGGAGGAGGAGGAGGAGGAGGAGGAGGAGGAGAAGGAGAAGGAGAAGAATGTTTGTAATGATAATAACTTCAATAATAATATATTGCATTTACGTTGCCTGTTTTCATCTCCACGAGATGCTCAATGTGCATGATGGTGAGCTAGGTAGCCTAAGGCAGACAGACGCTCAGTTGAGAAGAATATGCTTGCAGAAAATGAAACGGAACAACATCAGGCACGGCTCACGTCTTGAGTCCCCAGAGAACATATTGTGGTAGCAAAAAGTAAAGGCGAGAAAGGAAGGGGGGAGGCAACTTTTATAAAACTGTTGTTGTCTCAAAAGTTTGTGCTCATGGTCTTTTTTAATGGATTTTGACCTCGTCACCTCAACCCCTGAGGGGAGAGGGAGGTAAGGTGGAAGCCCACCTCCTAAACTGATCTAAAATGTATCGATGGTGGATGTCAAATCTTCTACATTTAAAAACGAAAATGCTTTTTTTTTTCCTTCCAGGTGATAGACGTCAATGACAACGCGCCTCAGTTTGAACAGGACCCAGTGATCATCCGAACGGTGGCGGAGAACACACGGGAGAACCACGTGGTGCACACCTTCATCGCTACGGACCGCGACTCCGACGTGAACGGGACGGTGCGCTACACCATTGAGTCGTACTCCGGGGAGGAGGAGGGGCTGGGGCCGTACTTCAGCATCGACGCCTTGACCGGGCAGCTCTACGTGTCTGGCCACATCGATTTTGAAAAGGTGAGAAACTTTACCGGTCTGGGAGGGAAGGGGCTTTGCTTCTGCTTTTACAGAGGGAAGAGTGATAAATGGATGGATAGATCAATAGATAGTTAGATAGAGAGAGACAGAGACAGAGAGGGGGAGAAAGATAGATAGATGGATGGATCGATAGATCGAAAGATAAATAAATTGATAGACAGATAGATGGACAGACAGGCAGGCAGGCAGGCAGGCAGACTGTTCCCATACTGTCTGCTAACACACTTTGTCTATAGGTGGTTGGTGGGTGCTCTGGTGTGGTTTGTTCCTTCTTTTCTATTAGGACATCTATCATCGTTATCTCCCCTCCTCCTTTCTTTGTGTATGTTACTCTCTAGTAACACCTCTAATCTTCGGCACTTATATAACCTTATTGTGTTGCAAGTGCTGTAAAAGTCTTACTAAAACAAAATAACACCTCTAATGTTTGCCTCTTCTGCATGACCTTATTGTGTTGCAAGTGCCGTAAAGCTCTTACTAAAAGCCTCCGCTCTGTCTGCCATGTGGTCCCTCCAGGTTGATCAGATCTCTGTGATCGTGCGTGCGGAGGACATGTGTCCGGACCGCGACCACCGCCTGCACTCCCTCATGACCACCATCGTGTACGTGACCGACATCAACGACAACGCGCCCGAGTTCGAGTCCACGGACCAGCTGACCGTGTCGGAGGAGGAGGCCGTGGGCTTCATGATCCTGGTGGTGGTCGCCGTGGATGCAGATGCAGACGTGGACAACAGCGGCAACAACCGCGTGCGCTACAGCATCGTGTCCGGGAACAGGGATGGAAAGTTCTTGCTCGGGGAAGACTCGGGTGAGTGCACACTAGCAGGGAGGGGTGGGGGGAGGGTGGAGGGGGGAGGGGGGGGATGTGTGTGTGTGGGGAGGGATGGGGTTGGGGGGAAGGGGGTTGTGTGTGTGTTGGGGGGGATGATGGATGGGGCACAGCTGCTAACCAGTACACGAAAAATATATTTGTGAGGCATCGTGGTAAAATCAGGCGCTCGTCAAAATAATGAAATGGAAGAAAAAGACATTTTTCCAATGGTTTGGCCATTTTTATCAAAATTTAGTTTTTTGGCTAAATACCTGGTGAGTGCACACTAGCAGGAAAGGACACAGTACATTAAAAATGTATATAGTTATTTTGTATATTATGTATTCTCTGTTTTGTAGTGTTGCTCCTCAAGGACTAGCAAATGCTGAAAAAAGATAATAGACGGTCAAGTCCAGACTTGTGGAAAGTGAAGGAAGCCAGTTGTTAAGTGAAGAGATCTTGTACTGCAGGTCTACTGTAAGTCGCTTGAAAAACATTTTTTAAATGCAGAAAAGTGTGTGGGAAGGATTTAGGGGGGGGGGGGGACTACTTACCCACCATCTTGACGCGCCATGTGGGCGGAGTCTGTGTTTTGCTTTTGAAAAATCGTCAGTTCTGCACATATGAGAGTCTTCATTCTTCTCTTTTCTTTTCCTCCCCTCCCTCTCAGGATACCTGACCATCTACGACGCGCTCGACCACGAGACTCAGGCCAGCTACACGCTCAACATCAGCGCGGAGGACTCGGGCACGCCCAAACAAGTGTCGCATCAACTTCTGCACATCACCGTGGCAGACGTCAACGACAACCCGCCGATCTTTGTACAGTCGGTGTACCACGCCAACATATCGGAGAACGCCTCGCCCCCGACTCACGTGGTCACCATCCAGGCGACGGATGCCGACACAGGTGAGGATCAGTTTAACCCTTTGAAGACGCTCGTTCTCGTCTTTCTACAGCTGTGACCTTGCACTGTTTTGGAGCACTTAAATATGAAAAAGAAGCATGATTTTGTAACCAATAAATGTTTTAAAATTAGGTTGTCTTTATCTGAAGCTAAAAAAGGCAAATTGCAACATGCATACCGTGAAATTTGCAAAGTTTTGTTTCAGATTTGTGTAAAGCATTATGGTTCCAAACGTGCCACAATATGGACGTCGGAGCTGTCAGATATACGTGCCTGCTACATCCTTAGAAAGTTGTTAGTGCCACCAGAAGGCTTGTCCAGCCTGTAAAATGCCATTTGTGAGTTTTGATTATTGGTAGAGATGACTGTCTATTAACAGCTCAAATCTTGGGTACTTGTAAAAACTTGTATATGACATATGAATGATGCATCTGATGTGAACGTACATTTTGTCAGCTTTACTTCTCTCTTCATATTGAATTTTAATGAGAGTAATATATAATTAAAATGTTTACGCATACCTGCATGTGTTTTTACGGTCCTGTACGGCCAAGAAAAATTTCCCTCTGGGATAATAACGTATTATCTTATCTTAATTGTGTTGCAAGTGCTGTAAAACTTTTTACCAACACAAAACCTGAACGTTGTTCCGGCAGGTGTGAACGGAGAGCTTCGCTACAGCATCCCAAGTGGCATCGCTGAGGACGAGTTTGTCGTGGAGCCAATCACCGGAGCGGTCAACGCTCGCATGGCCCTGGACAGGGAGAAAAGAGATTTGTACACCGTCACCGGTCAGTCTCTTTTTGGTTTTTTATGGGAATTTGATTTTACTTGTAATAATGTAACGTAATTTACTGTACTGTACCGTACCGTACCGCACCAGCGAACATTCTCTCTCCGCCTGTCTTGCAGCATACACCCACACCCACACCACACCCACACCTCCCCACACATCCCCAACACTTTCACCAAACATTCCCTCTCTCCACTCACAACAAACACTAAAACATTCTCCCTCCACCCATCTTTCGGCGTACTTCCAGGACGGAGCATACCCGGTCCACTTAAACACACCACACACCACACACCACCTCACAATACACCCCACCCCACCTCATACATCTCTCTCTCCCCTCATCTTTCAGCCTACATCCACCCCACCCCTCACATCTCCAACACTGACACCAGAAAATTTCATCAAACCATCTCTTTCTCCCCCTGTGTTAGAGCGTACCACTACAGCACACCTCACACATCTCTCTCTCCCCCTGTGTTACAGCGTATGTCCAGGACGGAGCCTACCCGGTCCACTACAGCACACCTCACATCACCCCACATCACCCCACTCCACCACACCCCACACACCACCCCACACCCCACACCACCTGACACCACCCCACCTCACACATCTCTCTCTCCCCCTGTGTTTCAGCGTACCACTACAGCACACCTCACACATCTCTCTCTCCCCCTGTGTTTTAGCGTACAACTACAGCACACCTCACACATCTCTCTCTCCCCCTGTGTTTTAGCGTACCACTACAGCACACCTCACACATCTCTCTCTCCCCCTGTGTTTTAGCGTACCACTACAGCACACCTCACACATCTCTCTCCCCCTGTGTTACAGCGTACCACTACAGCACACCTCACACATCTCTCTCCCCCTGTGTTTCAGCGTACGTCCAGGACACCTCACACATCTCTCTCCCCCTGTGTTTCAGCGTACCACTACACCCCACCTCACACATCTCTCTCCCCCTGTGTTTCAGCGTACCACTACACCCCACCTCACACATCTCTCTCTCCCCCTGTGTTTCAGCGTACCACTACACCCCACCTCACACATCTCTCTCTCCCCCTGTGTTTCAGCGTACGTCCAGGACGGAGCCTACCCAGTCCACTACAGCAGCTGCACCATCCTGATCACCGTTGTGGATGAGAATGACAACCGCCCTCGCTTCAAGAGCCAGACGTACACAGTGCAGGTGCCGGAGAACCGGGTCAGACAGCGTCTGCTCAGCGTGGTCGCCTCGGACGACGACCTTGGGGAGAACGGACGCATCACTTATGAGATCTCCAGTGAGTTGTATAGGCGTCGGTGGCCTAGTGGTTAGGCTCTCGGACTCGTAACCGTAAGGTCGTGGGTTCGAATCCTGTCAGGGGCCCGACGTTGTGTCCTTGGGAAAGGCACTTAGTACAAATTTTCCTCACTTCACCCAGGTGGGAATGGGTACCCGGCTATAGACAGTGAAAGATCTTGTCAGTTTGATAGTGTTTGAGCGCGTGAAATCCGCAGCTTGCACTGTATGCTTCGTCGGAAGCTGAGAATGTTTCTGAGTGTTCTCAGAGGGTCTGCTGGGGTAATAAAAGTTGTAAAGCGCATAGAGCAAGCTCTTGAGCATGGATGTGCACTATATAAATGCAATTATTATTATGATAGGCTTGTGTTATAATATCTCTGACAGGTCACTCCCTATGTAGTTGTGGTACTCCGTGAAGCACGTCATTGCCTCTGTTTGTGAAACCAAATGAAGGGAAGGGGGAAAGTTGCGCGCTGGACTCTAGTGAGGCTTTACGTTTTGTGCTTTGTTTGCACATCAATGGTGCGCTCCGGCGCAGTGAGGTTCTTGTACAGAGTAAATGTGGAGAGTGGTGGCCATGACAGTGCCCAGTCTAGGGTATTGTACTTCCAATCTATGGTGAGTTCACTTCTCTGCCATTCTTGTGTCCGGACGGTCAGTTCATGGGAGACAATACTGGATGAACTTAAGTCAATTCTGAAAGTTTCATGTATACATACAACAGTGGCTGAAAGTGTGCACTGTGGGAAGAAATGGTATAGGAAAAAGCATGATGACAGTTTCAAGATAGATGTGGGGTTTTTTCTGGTCACTTTTCTGTTAAGATCACTCGCAAATGCTTTTTTTGCTGTGGGAGTAGTTGGCAAGTGTTCTGGTGTGGCTTACTGCTTCTTTCCCTGTCAAACAACTATGGTCCTGATCTCTCCGCCTTCTTTTCTTTGTACGTTACTCTCATGGTTACTCTCATGTAACAACTGAAATCTTGGGTGCGTGTGTGACTTGTCTGTGCCCAAGTGCCTTAATGCCCAACAAAAACTACAACTGTAGACGTTTACTTTGATGTTAACTTTGCTATTTTTGCCAATCGGCAAATCCTGTTTTTCAGCCAGACGAAGAATACGCTTTTCATTTTTTCATTTTTTTATTTAAAGTTCCTCCCATCCAACTTTCTTCAAGATGTACCCGTGGTTCAACGCTTGTTTACTTTTTTATCTCTCAGATGACTACGACGGAAAATTTAGCATCGACCCGGAACACGGACATCTGTCGAGCGAGCCGTTGGACCGTGACACGACCCCATCGTACAAGCTGATCGTTTCAGCGCGGGACCACGGCTCCAACCCGCACACAGCCACCGCCACTGTCGAGGTCATCGTGCTGGACGAGAATGACAACAGTCCGACCTTCACCAAATCGGTAGGTGGTCTGACTGACCGTTTTACTGTTCAGCGTTTTCATTTGCTGTTAGGTATAGGATTGAAACTGGGAAAAAAACCAGGGTAAAACTTAAAAACACCAGGCTTGCTTTTCCAGGGACTGCCCTAGATTTTGGCAGTCTGATATTTGAGAAAGTTATCATAAACACTACGTTTGAAAGGAACATCCCTCCTCCCCCACTCTCCCCTCTCTCTCTTTCACCCTCTCACACACACATGCACGCATATGTACACACACATTTACATACACAGACGCACACATACAAATAATCATTGGATCGACATTCAAAATAATGTTATTCTCCCTATGTCTTTAGTTTTAGTACATGTTTTATGGTGCTCACAGTTGCATGAGGTTATATGAGCGCTAGGGGGTGGATGTCATCAGAGAAGTCCAAACGGGGAATCTGATTTACTTTGTTCACCTCTCTAGCCTCAACAGCACAAAGTCTACTTCGACTATCAAGGCCCCCCGGAAATAGCGGTTCACAAGGAGAGACAAACATACGAAAGAAGTAGAGGAAAATGAGGATAGTAAGGATGAGGAAAGAAAAAGCAGCAGTTCCCCCTATATTGTTCCGGCACAGTATGAGAATGACATTGATGAATCAGCCCATTTACAATTCTACTGTGAATAAGAACATGTTGATATCCCCTCTTTGGGACTGGCCTTAAGACAACTCTATGTTGAAGCCGCTCTGTGACGTACGTATAACTTGTGTGACCTTTCCCCCCAGGTGTACACAGGCAGGATCCGCGAGGACGTGGGTCTGGGGGAGGTGGTGGTCAAAGTCTCGGCCCACGACCCCGACCTTGGCCCCAACGGAGCGGTCATGTACTCTCTGGGCAACGACACCGAGGGCTTCTTCGAGATCGACAGCGCGACTGGAGAGATTCACACCAGCGGGTCGGTCCCTCCCTCTCTTTTTTCTTCTCATTTATTTGAAAAAAAGAATTATTCCTCTGCAATCCTTGCTGATGGTTAAAACTATTTGTTCATTTTTAAAAATGTATTGATTATCCCCAGTACGCTGGTGTCACAACGCAGTGGAATCTGGCGCTCGTCAATTTTTGGGCATTTAGAGTTATTAGTATCATCTGAAAGCTTATTCCTTTGTCTTCCTTTCAATGAAAAAAATACTGTTCTATTTTGAATAGAAGTCGAGATATTTGCTATTGATAGAGGTTGGGCCGTCTGCTTTTATTGGTAAAATGAACGAGAAAATGGCCGCCTAAGTTCAGTAACTTTAATAGCTTGAGAGTCATTGAAAACTGAAAAATTACATATTTTGTGCCTTTAAGTAACGTTTTTCAGTCAAATACTATTTTTTAAAATTCTTATTATTATTACTACTACTATTATTATTTTTATTATTATTTGTTATTATTATTATTATTATTTATGATGATGATTATTATTATTTTATTGTTATTGTATCTATTGTGTTGAGTATTGAGTTCTGTTGTATCTGTGTGTCGTCAGGTCGTTCGACCGAGAGCGGAACCAATCATTCTCCTTCCTGATCGTGGCCTCCGACAACGGCACCACGGGTCCGCGGAACAGCTCGGCACAGGTGGACGTGACGGTGACGGACGTGAACGACAACGCGCCTGTGTTCTCCGAGGTACCCTACACCTCCAGCCTCAGCCTCACCACGCCCACTAACAAGCTCATCTTGACGGTCAACGCCACCGACCGCGACCTGGGCCTCAACGGGCAGGTGGAGTACCGGCTGCAGGCGTACGACTCATCCAGGGACAGTCTGCAGGTGAGGGGGATGGAAGGGGAAAGTCATGGGGGAAGGTCATGGGTCTCTTGATGGTTAAGGCTTTCTAAACAAATCCTTAGAGTGTCTGTGACTCTTTTGGTAGGAATTTAGAACAGGATACGGGGTTAAAAAAAGGGTTAAAAAAACATCTACCCAGCAACTGTTAAATCCACGCCTGAAATGCTGAATTTAAAACTGTGCCATAAGCCATTTAGAAAAGTGAAGAAAGACGGACTCCCACATTGGCTAGTCGACATGTCACTAGATCTACTTCTTTGCACTATGCAAAAAAACAAATAACACATCTTTGAAAAGCCAGCGGTCACTTCTAATTGAGAAGAAGCCGACTGTGTTATAACTCTAGAATGGTTTTCTAATATTTGAAAAGTACTTCTGTTATGGAAAAATGTGGCTATTTTTATGTGCAGCAAAACCTCTGTATAAGTTATGTGGTTTCAAACATACTATCCCCTATAAGGTTCTCTTTCTCAAGCCCCAAATCCTATGTCGTATTTTTGCTTTATTTGACTGATATAAATCTCGGCTAAGATGTGCAAAACTTGGGTTTTAAGAGAGTAGGCCTACGTTATGCAGAGGTTTTACAATATTTTTCTTGCTATTATTGAAAGACAAAGAACAAATTTTACTGACCTTTCTGTTTGTCGTGTCGGTACAGTACTTCCGCATCGACCCGACCTCGGGCCGCGTCTACACCAACAAGTCCCTGCTCTTGACAAACGCCGCCGGACATCACAGTCTGCTGGTGGTCGCAACCGACTCGGCCGCTTCCCCGTCAGCACGCCTCAGTTCTACAGGTGGGTGTGGCAGTGTGTTACACGGGGAGGTAGTGGGTGTGGCAGTGTGTGTTACAGGGGAAGGTAGTGGGTGTGGCAGTGTGTTGTACACGGGGAGGTAGTGTGTGTGGCAGTGTGTTGTACACGGGGAGGTAGTGGGTGTGGCAGTGTGTTGTACACGGGGAGGTAGTGTGTGTGGCAGTGTGTTGTACACGGGGAGGTAGTGTGTGTGGCAGTGTGTTGTACACTGGGAGGTAGTGTGTGTGGCAGTGTGTTGTACACGGGGGAGACAGTGGGGAGGAATGGGTGTGGCAGTGTGTTACAGGGGGAGGAATGGGTGTGGCAGTGTGTTGTACACGGGGAGGTAGTGGGTGTGGCAGTGTGTTGTACACGGGGAGGTAGTGGGTGTGGCAGTGTGTTGTACACGGGGAGGTAGTGGGTGTGGCAGTGTGTGTTACAGGGGAAGGTAGTGGGTGTGGCAGTGTGTTGTACAGGGGGAGGTAGTGGGTGTGGCAGTGTGTAAGATTGGGAGAGATAATTGTTGTTAAGTGCATAAGCATGCTTTAGAGCATAGATAGGCACTATATAAATGCAGATATCATTATTATGATTATGGTTATTACTATTATTATTATTATTATTATTATAAATATTGGAGTCCTTTAGGTATCTCAGTCTGTATTCAGGTGGGTGTGGGAGAACCACTGATGATGATTATTACTGTGTTATCATCTTTGTCCGCTGCATCATTATTTTTGTACTGCAAAAAAAAATATAGCAGAGATTTGAATAAAGTTAGTTTATTGAACACAACATTACTCATTAGTTCAATCATCATTATCATTGTCATCATCATTATTATTATTATCATTATTATTATTATTATTTTGTTATTATTATTATTATTATTATTATTATTGTTATAATTATTATTATTGTTATTGTTATCATTATTATTATTATTTTTATTGTTATAATCATCATCATCCTCTCCCAGGAGTGATTGAGATCACCGTAGGGTCGGAGTCCAGCGAACAGTTCAAGTTCACCCGTAGCGAGTACACAGTGGAGATCGACGAGTCCTTGGGTCAAGGTCAGCTGGTGACAGAGGTCCAGGCCGGCTTCAGTGGGCAGACGTCCACAGCTGCGACGTACAGCTTCGCCACGGGCAACGAGAACAACGCTTTCAGCATGGAGCGCAACACAGGTGACCGTTGAATCCTCTAAAAATATTTTTAGTCAAATTTCTCAAAACTAGGTCACTGAGCAGGTACAACTTTTGTGTAGTTCTCGGGTAGCGCAATGTTCAATGGAAGGACCCGCCCCCTCAATAAACACCTCACAGTGGTGCAAGGGTTGTCAAACTGACACATTGTTCTTCACTGACATAATCATTGAGGGGTTTTTGTTCGTCATGGATGTAATCATTGAAGAGTTTTTGTTCGTCATCGATGTAATCATTGAAGAGTTTTTTATGATCATTGACATCATCATTGAAGAATTTTTTATGGTCATTGACATCATCATTGAAGAGTTTTTTTATGGTCATTGACATCATCATTGAAGAATTTTTTTATGGTCATTGACGTAAACATTGAGCAATTTTTCCTTGTCATTGACATAATCATTGAAGTGCTTTTCATGGTCATCGATGTAAATTTTCATTGTCATTGAGGTAATCATCGAAGAGTTTTTTTTATGGTCATTGACATAAACATTGAGCAGTTTTTCCTTGTCATTGAGGTAATCATTGAAGAGTTTTTTATGGTCATTGACGTAATCATTTGAAAAACTTATCCATCATGATCCACAGGCCAAATCAGAGTACAGAAGTCGGAGCTCCTTGACTACGACACAAACCCTCAAATCCGCCTCATTGTGTCGGCCAGCTCGGGCAGCCACCACGCCTACGCGACCTTGTGGGTGAACCTCAAGGACATCAACGACAACGCCCCGCGCTTCTCCCAGTCCCGCTACGTGTCGGCCATCTGGGAGAACAACCAACCAGAGACCTTTGTCACTCAGGTAGGGAGATCTGGGTTTTTTCCACATTGTGTGTGCTCCACTGGCCAACTTGGAGCAATTAAGTTAGGGTTAGGGTTAGGGGTTAGGGTTAGGGTTAGGGTTAGGGGTTAGGGGTTAGGGTTAGGGTTAGGGGTTAGGGTTAGGGTTAGGGTTAGGGGTTCGGGTTTTTAAAAATGTTTTTGTTTAGGCTTTAGGGTAAGATGTTAGGGGTTAGGGCTTATATGTTTTGGATTAGGGGTTAGGGCTTACATGTTTCGGATTAGGGGTTAGGGGTTAGGGCTTACATGTTTCGGATTAGGGGTTAGGGCTTACATGTTTTGGATTAGGGGTTAGGGGTAAGGGCTTACATGTTTTGGATTAGGGGTTAGGGGTTAGGGCTTACATGTTTTGGATTAGGGGTTAGGGGTTAGGGCTTATATGTTTTGGATGAGGGGTTAAGGGTTAGGGCTTACATGTTTTGGATGAGGGGTTAAGGGTTAAGGCTTACATGTTTTGGATGAGGGGTTAGGGCTTACATGGTTTGGATCAGGGGTTAGGGGTTAGCAACAAAAAGAAAAGTTTTTTTCTCCTTGTGTTCTTTTTAATGAGATGAATCGGTTACTAGGAGGAATTAAGATATTTTTCCGCTCTATCTTGTATACAAGTTTAGTAAAACAACTTGATGATGACGTTGATGATGATGATGATGATGATGATGATGATGATGATTTAATCTTGATTTCTTATCACTGAGGGATTTTTGTCTTGTGGGTGGTTGGTGGGTGCTCTGATTGTGGTTGGCTCGTTTTTGTTCCTATCAAACATCTATCGTCCTTATCTCTCCTCTTTCTTTTTTATGTTTGTTACTCTCTTGTAACACCTCTAATCTTCGGCACTTGTATGACCTTTTTGTGTTGTAAGTGGCGTAAAACTCTTGTTAATAAAAAAAAAATGACTAACATGTGGCGTGTGACCCCACCTCAGGTGACGGCCCGTGACGCAGACAGCGGCCTCAACGGCCTCATCGACTACTACATCATCGGGGGTGGGGAGAAGGTGTTCGTCATCCAGGACTCGCTCACGGGGATCGTGCAGACACACATCGAGGCGGCGCCCCTGGACAGAGAGGCCCGCCCCGAGGGATACAGGTACGTGCGCCGCTTCTTTACCCCTCTGTGATGTAATATGTTGCGATGTAATATGTTGCGATGTAATATGTTGCGATGTAATATGTTGCGATGTAATATGTTGCGATGTAATATGTGGGGCAACGTGGTGAAATCTGGGGCACGGCAAAATAATGAAATGAAAAAAAACTGGCATTTATCTGCCAGTTTGGCAATTTTTTATGTAATTTTTGTTTTTTGCCGTAACACCATAGTTGTCCTATTAAGAACAAATTTCTGGGTGGATTTTGCTCTAAAGTGTTGATTAAAGGCAGAATTTTCAGTTTCAGGGGACTATCAAGCTATGGAAGAAAGCAAACGTTGGCGGCCATTTTCTCGCTAATTCTACCTTTGAGACCAGGCGACCCCCCCACCTTTTTCAGTCTCAAATATCTTAACTTCTATTGAAGATAGATGGAGATTGTTTTCCTGAAAAGTAAGACAAATGAACAAACTTTAAGATGATACCAACAACTTCGTATGCTCAAAAATTGACAAGTGCCTGATTCCACCGTGTCGTGACACATTTGACGTACGCCGCTCGTCATTTTTGCTCCTAAGATGAAGGAAGCAAATGCGGCTATGACATCTGGAGTTGGTCATGCCTTGTGATGCGCGAGGACCGTGATGACGAGCTTTATTCTCCGTAGGTTGTATTCAGCATACTGCTTCTATTTTTTCCACTTTGTCATGATTCTCATTCAGTGATATTTTTTTAAAAATTTTCTTTTAAGGATGGTTAAAACTATAAAAATGCTGTTTTTTCTTCCCTCCCCAGACTGACCATCCAGGCGCGCGACCGTGGCACTCCTCCCAAGACGGGCGTCTGCACCCTCCTCATCACCATCGTAGACGAGAACGACTCACCCCCGCACTTCCCCGACATCGGGCCGCTCAACGTCAGCGAGAGTGAGTTCTGCAGTTTTGTTTAACATATTTTTTTGGGGGGGGAGGGGGGGTTGCTTTTAAATGTAGGTGTTTTTATGCCCTGATTGACACAATTTAGCACGCGAGAGAGAGAGAGATTGAAAAAGTGCAGGGGAGGTGAGAGAGAGAGTGAGAGAGAGAGAGAGTGAGAGAGAGAGAGAGAGAGGGATTTTTAATAAATGTTTGTGTTTCATGTCTTCAACAGCTCAAGTTAGATCATTTAGGAAACAGACTGTTGTGTAAATGACCTAACAAGGTTATTGTCCATCCCTATTTTAAGGGAGCTATCCCCGTCACTTTAAGACATGCGCAGTAGCGACTAGCGGGGTGAGTAATAAAGTTCAGTTGCTGTCCGAGATAGGTGTGGTGAGCAGTTCTTCTTTTGCTCGTGTCTGTGAGTGAAGTGTTCTGGATTAAAGTGAACCCAAAGTAGACAAACACAGACCTCTGGCCCTGCTTGTCAGGGTCAACCCGGGCTGAGAGTGATGCAACATCCCAGCCGTAAGACCGAGATAGCCACTAGAACCAAACCATTGAGGGCCTGTCTGTTGGGATGTTGTCTGCTCTCTCAGCCCGGGTTGGCCCAGACAGACAGATTGAAAGTCTGCTTTGTCAGTGACCTGAATTGTGTCAATGGGAGCGTAAAAACGTTCATACTAGAACACTAGACTCCAACACGTACCCCGATACCTTCTGTCACGGGTGAACTGAGGGCACGGGATGTCTCAGCTTCATGGTTCCCTTCTCTCTAGCTGCTCTGGTGTGGTTTGCTCCTTCTTTCCTATCGAACATCCATCGTCCTTATCTCTCCTTCTTTTCTGTGTTTGTTACTCTCTTGTAACACCTCTTATCTTCAGCACTTATATGACCTTATTGTGTTGCAAGTGCCGTAAGACTCTTACTAAAACTAATCTAACTTCCCACAGATCGAGATGTGGGCTACGTCGTTGCCATGGCAACTGCCAACGATGTGGACTTGAACCCTATCCTGGTGTACGACTTCACAACAGACGGCAACCCCGACCAGACATTCAGCCTGGAGCGATCCACGGGGCGCCTCACGCTGGCGAAACGTCTGGACCACGAGAAAAAGTCACACTACACCGTGCGCATTCAGGTCAGCACCCGTCACGGCTTTGAGTGGGTGGTTGGTGGGTGCTCTCCTGTTATTTGCTTCTTCTTTCCTATCAAACATCTATCATCATTATCTTTATCTCTTCCTTCTTTCCTTTGTATGTTTCTCTGTGGAAGCGCCTCTAGTCTTCAGCATTTATATCGCAATTGACCTTATTGTGTTGCAAATGCTGTAAATCTCTGTCTAAAACTGAGCATACTTTCTTCCAGTCGGGTGGCTTGGTGCAATGACTTTGGTTTTATTTTTTACCTTCACTTGTCACGTTGTCTTCAACCTGGACACATTTCCCACTCATTGACACTTCCTGTTGCTTTTGGTACAACGGAAGTTCTGCCAGTCATTTTGTGTATGAGAATGTGTGTGGGTCTGGGAGGTGTGTGTTTGTGTGTGTGTGCATGCATACATGCTTGTGTGTATGTGTGTGTGTGTGTGTGTATGCCTACATGTTTGTGTGTGTGTGTGTGTGTATGCATACATGCTTGTGTGTATGTGTGTGTGTGTATGTGTGTGTGTGTGTGTGTGTGTGTGTGTATGTGCATACATGCCTCTGTGTATGTGTGTGTGTGTGTGTGTGTATGCATACATGCTTGTGTGTATGTGTGTGTGTGTGTGTATGCATACATGCTTGTGTGTATGTGTGTGTGTGTATGTGTGTGTGTGTGTGTGTGTGTGTGTGTATGTGCATACATGCCTCTGTGTGTGTGTGTGTGTGTGTGT